AGCCAACATGCTCGGTCTGGGCATCTTTTAATTAATTTAATAACTTTCTCTAAAAATAAGCTTAACTAGATTTCCATTTGAACCTTAAGCACCATCTCAATAATCTTAGGGGAAACGGTATTAATTCTAAAGATAAAAGGAGGTTTAAAATGCTTTAAAACCAATTTTCTTACCATAGGAAATTCATTTTAAATAGTGTTAGCCCAAGAATAGCCCATAACTTTTGGATCATTGTGTTTGTTTTAGTCTCATATCCTTATTATTAAGTAGCAATCACTCTCTTCAAAACTTCCTCAGTAAATCGCATGACATTACTAAGTTGACCAGTTTAGTGAGCATGTGTTGTCTGTGTCCACCCCATCTGCATCCTCCCTTCTGGTAGTGGCACCCCATTCTGTTTTGGACAACTACTCCAATCTATTGTTCTTTATGGGAGCTGCCAAGAAAGGTGTCTTGCCCTCCTCTGGCCTAGAGATTTGAATCCATGACCCAAACTGGGCCAATTAGACATTCTTCCTGGAATTTACATGCCTGCCACCACCTCCAGACTAGGAACTCCTCACCAACGGGGGCAAGATCTTATTTATCTGTCTCTGATGCCTAGCACAGTGCCTAGCTATGAATATTCATGTGGGCTGAATGAATTACACAGAAAATCACACACCTTAAACAAATGCTGGACTAAGTCTATCATTTTCCCAACAGAATTCTGGAGGGAGAGCAAATTGTATGATGTTTTGTAAGGGAAATGTCCACTTCAGTAGCTAGGAAATATGCGTCGGAAATAGTATCCGAAGTTGCCATTTCTCCATGCATTAACGATGTCAATCAGTCCAATAAAATAAAGCCCCAAAAAAGACAAAAGGAGAATTACCTCATTACCTCAACATCTGCTTGAACATAAGCAATCACACACTGGCTAATTTTTTTTAAAGGGACATAATATAACTTTCTAGAATGACATAATATAGCTAATTATACCATTCACTAGAAGGGAATATACAATGTTTTGAAGTAATTCAGAAGTGGGTGTGATTTATAAGACATGGAGCTTAGGGAATGGTAAGTATAAATTAGAGATTGTTCATATTATGACAGACTCCGTCATTACATTTCACAACTTTTGTCAAAAGCAACTTTATTCACCACACCACTGACGGCTTCACATTAGGGAAGGCTGCTGTCAGCTCTGGGGTTTAGAGTAGACAGGAACCTTCTTTCTGAACACCCTCTGGGGAATAGGTTCAAATTTTAGACTTAAAACTCACTAAGTGGGGAGGTGGGAGATGAAGAGAGGTTGACTAACGGGGAGAAACATGCAGTTAAATTGAAGGAATAAGTTCTAACTGACTATAGTTAACAACAATGTATCATATATTTCAAAATAGCCAGAAGAGAGGACCTTGGAATGTTTCCAACACATAGAAATGATAAATATTCCAGATGATGGATACTCCAAATACGCTGACTTGACTGTTACACATTCTATGCACATAACAAAATATTACACGTACCCCATAAATACGTACAAATATCATATACCAATTTAAAAACCTCACTAAGGAACCATGTGATGAAACCTAAAGGACCAATAAACACATAAAAAGATTTCAAACCTCACTAATAACCAGAGCAATATAAATTTTTAAAAGTACCATTCTGCCCATTAGATTGGCAAAAATTCAGAAACTTATCAGGCTAGCAAATTAATAAAGATTGCTATTAGCCAGTGTTGACCAGTGCTGGTGAGAATGTGAATTGGTACAGCCATTTTGGGGGGCACTTTTGCAATGGCCAGCAAAACTTTGTGTGTGCATGCCCTCTAATCCAACAATTCAATTTTAAAGAATCTATCCGAGAAATAAATATGTAATTGTACATTTACTTGTATGATTACTTGATTAATGACTGCCTTCTTCACTAGACAATAAACTTGGTGAGAACAAGAACTGTCTGATTCACTATCTGTACCCCCAGTGCCTAGCACATGGACCTCATATATGGTAGGTACTTGGTAGGTATTTGTTAAAAGAATGTATAAATATGTTCACTCAGCACTAAAAAAAGGAAACTAGAGTATTTAATCAATAATAGTTCTTCTTGTTCACATCAAATAGGGGTAGTGAAATTATCACTAACAATGTTAACAGATAGTAAAAGGTACTGTCTATTTTCAAAATTAACCACAAACACTATCAGCTTACACAATTGATCACAATGTGTATTATTAAGTGCCCAAAAGACCTAGTTGCCTGTCCTCAAATTCCTAGCTTCCCAATTAGTTCATAGGTCAAACAGCAACTAAATACTCTTGAAATAAGTCAATAGTTTTTACAGTCTATGATCCAATGACAAGCAAATGCCCTGGTTTTGAGATGTGCAAAAATCGCACTGTGGGCTGAAAAAATCCCAATACCTGTGTAACCAGACTTATTATCCTAAAAAATAGGTATACCTTTTAAGAAACACAAATTTCAAAATCTAACTGTTCTTTTAACCTTTGATGTGCCCTTAGTCAAGGAAATACAACTTCTAAAAATACCAGTGTCATGAATCTGTTTGTTCTCCAATACAATGCAATAGGAGAAAGAGCCAGAAACTTAAAAATTCTCCCTTTTTTCTCAGGCCTCAAACCCAACATAGAGACAGAGTATGTGTTCCAAAATTAAATATAAACAATTTGTAGATAATCTACATTGTTAACCTACCCATGAAATTATATACAGAATGAAAGGTGAATTTTTTTATTTTAATCATTATTTGGAAACTGACCATCAAAAGATCTGATATCCACTGACAGATATTACCAATAATGAAAAGTCCACATATCTAGAGAATGAATCAAGAGTCTTTATATTAAGGGGTAGGGGGGAGGGAAAGGTGTTATTAAAAATAACATACTAATAGAATTCAGTCTCACACTAAAACATTTGAGAAACTCAAAGGCATTCTGATAAAGATAAAGGCATTCTGTCTGCCCAGGAGATTCACTGAGGCTTGTGACTTTCTGACCTCAGGCTAATCTAGGATGCAAGGGGAAGGTACTGGGAAGGCAAAAGAGACTAGCATTTATCCAGCACTTTTTAGATGCTAGATATCACAGAGGAATGTGTTAAGTCCATTTCAGTGAGGTTACAGAATTTCCCCAAGGTTACACAGTAAAGGGTAATGTTGAGCAATGTTTGTGGGAGTGTGGCTCCTGAGGGATCTAGGCACTCTTACGAATGGTATGTTTGTGGTTGCAAGGAACAACAGATAAAGGTACTGGACAAGACCTCATAAAGTCATCTGGTTTAGCCCTTGCATTTGGTCAAATAAGTCTTGGTTAACCACAAGATAGACGAAGGGAAGAGACTCCTCCAAGTTCACAGAGCTGGGGAGTGGAGCCAGGAGAAGTGAAAGAACTGGGACCAAACCCCAAGTTCAGCCCCAGAGCAGGGCCCCTTCCATTATATGGCCATGTCAGCAAGTCACTCAAAAAAGTACATGTTCCTACACAGTTTTACTTCCTAAATCCGTATGGTTCCTCTCTTTCCTGATCCATATTCTAAGACCACCCTTTTGTCAGGGTAATAATTTTTAAAATGTGTTAGGTTAACATTTGGTCGCTGATCTGGTTTTGTTCAGAAGTGTAGTAAATGATGAAAAAAAAAAAGATTGAAACAGCTCTTTACTAAGGGATCATCCCCAGTTACGAAGCAGTACAGAAATGCGGCACATGGCCTGGCTCTGCTGCGCCCAGCACCAACCCTGTTAATTCAGGAAGCCCCACACTGGCACGGTGTTGGCTCACTGCTAATAAATTGCTAAAAATGAGAAGTGATAAAAAACTCATCATGGCCTGAAAATCCCAGCCGGATAAGGAAAAAGGAATTAGACCGAACCCAAAAGAAAAGCACAGAAGGGTGTGAAGCGGCGCTGCAGGCCACCAAGCGCCAACAAACGTGCAAGGGTGGGGCCGAGGCTAGCCGAGCCGCCCAAAGCCGCCAAGATATCCTGCCCCACCCGCTTCTCCAGCATGGAAGGTGGTGCGGTGCGACCTCGTCCCGCCGAATCCAGTCCCTTAACCCCCAACCCCCGTTCGCCAGCTAACGAAACCGGCTGGCAGTCCGTGTCACACTGCCGGGCCCGACTCTCCCGCACTTTATCCGCGGCCCTGGGCTCTCCAAGGCGCGCGGGGCGCGAAGGACACTTCTCCACGGGTGCCGGAGCTACTGGGGCGATCACGGCGGCCCCAGTGCCTCCCGCCCAGCTGCCACCCGCCCCAGCTCCGGCGCCCTGGAGCCGTCCCCGCCCACGGGCCGCGGCTGCCCACACCTGGCGCCCGCGTGCCCGCCTACCTTGCTCCTTCAGACTGGTGATGAGCTGCAGCTGCTTCTCCTCGTCCGAGCTGTTCATTTTGGTGGGTGGGGCCGGGAATAAAAGGAAAGGAGGGAGAGGAGAGGGGTACGCGGGGGGGAGGAGGAAGAAAAAGCAAGATGCCGGTGGCGTGCGGCTTCACTACCCGGAAGTTGGATTCGCTCCCGCTCCTCCTCCTCCTGGCGCGGAGCGCGCGAGTGAGATCATCCCCACGCACCTACTCGGCGGCTGCGGCCGCTTCACCTGCAGGCGGGCGACAGCGGGGCGGGGACTGCGGACAGACCGCAGCCCTGGGGCAGCGGGTGTGGGGAGACGGATGGGGCCAGGGGGTGGGGCCGGAGCCCGCGTCCTTCCCTGCGGCCAGGCTGCCTCCAGGCCGGCGCCGCAGGACGCGCTGGCGGGAGGGCGTGCGGCCCTGCGTGCGGTCTCTCCCGCTGCTCCCGCACCCTTTTCTCCGCCTCCACCCCATGGACACGAGGATGCGCGTCCAGAGAAAACCGGCCTTGGTTTCGCAGCGTCTGTGGGAACCCCACTTTGGACGCTGCCCCAGGGTCACTCTCCACGAACCGCGAACATAGGGACGTACTGGGCAATTAGCGACCAGTCTTTTTCGCCAGTTCTTATGCATTGGACTCTGGGAGCGGGTTTGGAAAATCTAGATGCCTGCAGGGGCAGGCCCGTGGTCGTACATTTTGCACCTTGAAAAGCAGACAAGCACCCAAACAAGCCGGTCTGCCCAGTAAGTGCATTTTGTGGGCCGCCTAGCTAGTTAAGTTACCACGCAGTGAGTAAAGGCCTGGAGATTGGATTAACAGTGCCCGAGGGCCCCGACTAGCTTTCACCTATTCCAACCAGCGTTGAGAGGTGGTCAGAACGTGGGCCCTGCTGCAAGTGGTTCGCGGGGCCTGGAGAGCCCTTGCAGATCATCTGGTTGGTGGTGGGATGACCTTCCCACTAGGGAGACTGCCAGTGCAGTCCGGATGTCCAAGATCACACAGCTACCTGGCAACAGAGGCTGGTGGAGTGAAGCACAGCATTTGAGCATTTGTCCCACTTCACTGCCCTCTGCTCTGTTTAAACCCAGCTCTGGGTTGGACCCTGACCAGGAGAGAGGTGGCAGGCCTGCCTGGTTCCAAAGGTACCTCTCTTCAACTATTAGTTGCTGGCTAACCTTTGGTCATGTCTCCTGTGTCTTTGAACTTCATCTAAAGAATGGGAATAATAATAATACCTGCTCTGCAGACAGAGTTGTAAGAATTGAACAGGGAGAGGAAGATTAACAAAACACCGAATCCAGAATTTATCATACAGTAGATGTTTTGTTGTTTAAGATTACTACACGGTCAAGTGTGGTGGCTCATGCCTGTAATCCCACCACTATGGGAGGCTGAGGCAGGAGGATCATTGAGCCTAGGAGTTTGAGAACAACCTGGGCAACATAGCGGGACCCGCCTCTACAAAAAAATTTTTTTTAATTAGCTGGTTGTGGCGGCGTGCACCATAGTCCTAACTACTCAAGAGGCTGAGGAGGGAGGATAGCTTGAGCGCAGGAGTTGGAGGCTGCAGTAAGCTATGATCGTGCCACTGCACTCCAGCCTGGGTGACAGAGGGAGACTCTGTGTTAAAAAAAAAAAAAAAAAATTACGCCAGGTCTGTGAAAAAGGAGTTGTGATTGGTAATTATAAGCTGAAGCAGGCAAGTTCTTTTACACTGAGCATTAAGCATCCAAAATAAATTGAAAATGAATTGGATTTACTGCACATCTTGGCTTTTCTCTCTCTTCCCCTCAGCTTTTAATATGCGTATACCACCAACACAGTGCTTCTGCTCATTCTTCACTTGATACTTTATGCAAATGCTCAACTCCATTTGTTGGGTCAGTTGCTTCATGACAGTTGGGAAGGTGGGGCAAGATATTGGTAAATCCTGTAACTAGCATCTTTCGGATACTGGTTACTAAATACTAACTCAAAACAAACTTTGGGAAAAAATGGTAGCACTTGCTTTCTCTTTCTCTAAAATGGCAATAAGATATTTTAGTATGGGTGATCTAGGGGTAGAATGATGTAAAAACATAGTACTTTTTAAATAGAGTGAATTAAAAGTTTGAGACTTTAAAAATAATTTTGGTATGGGATTTTATCATTCAGTCCTTTCCCTAGTTTTTCATAAAGTAGTTAAAGACAGTTTTAGATAGCTGCCATAAAGACCCCCAGGAGAGAGCCAAATGGCCTTTGTCCTGGAATTATATCTCAGTCCTCAGAGTTGAAAGAAGGCCCAGGAAACAGGAGACAATCAGACTCAACTACATGAAAATATGAATATGTGAATATGTGCTGCCACCAAGTATTTTGTGGGAGGAGAAATAATTTCCTTCCAGAAAAAAAAATTCCAGGAGATCCGGGTGTCAAATCATGGCCATTTCACTTTTGTACAGCAGCCAGGAAACCTGTTAAACCTGATGAGTCATCCTGACTGCCTAGCAATGTTGAGAAAGTCCCTTGAAATCTAAATAAGCAGAAGTATTTTCTCATAATGTACCACCTATAAGCAGAGTGTGTATTAAATATTTGGATTAGTTCACAAAGTTTCAGTTTTTTCAATGGCTGATTTGTCTACTACAATTATACAATATTAGATAATATTTTTGAACTTTAAGAATGACTCAGTTGTCAAATCTACATTCAAACTAAGTTTTTTGGTCCCACACTGAATCTGCAACCCCTTGAAATTAATCCCATTTACCCTCCTTAAAATTAAAAAGGCCTCCTGAAATAAAATGTGGTATTCCCTTGAGGGCATGGTATGAATTATGAGGATGGCCATTAGAGTCACTTATTGGGATTCAGATCTCCCATTACACTATGGTTTATTTATATGATATGAATATTGATGGAAAGGATAGAAGTGATAGAATTAGTTTTTGTTCTGTTTAATAATACATATAGGGATTTATGTTGCAGGTATCACATTGGCATTATTATTAACCTCCAAATACCTTGTCATTTAAAACCTTTAAAAATGTGTGTTTACATATACATATACAGATATATATGTAGAGAGAGAGAAGAGAGACTTTTAAAAAATGAATTGGAAGGAAATGCACCAAACTCAAGATAATGGCTGTCTAGAGATAGAAAGTAGAGGAATGGACCCAAAGGGTGGGGGTTGGAGTGGGTGAGTGCAGTGATCAAAAAGGATTTTCTCTTTAGTGTTTGTTCAATTTTTCAGGTAATTAAAGTGAAATCACATTTATGTAATGTTTTGAGGTATATAGGTAAGTAAGACTGAATACAGTGGGAAAAAGGTTCATTCTCTTTGACCCACTAATTCTATATCAGGGAATCCTAAGAGGATTATGTACAGAGCTATTTATTGTAATGTTAATTATATGAAAATGGCAATGTTGGAATATTATTTGAAAATAAAATGAAATAAAATACTGATATATGGTACAACATGGATGAACTTTGAAAACATTACAGAGAGTGAAAAAAGCCAGTCAGAAAAGCCCAGATATTATATGATTCCATTTATATAAAATGACCTCAACAGGCAAATCCTTATACAGAGAAAGTTAATTAGTGATTGTGTAGTATAGTGGGTGAGGGAGGAGATTTGGAGAAAATGGGGAATGGTTGCTGATAGGTGTGTGGTTTTCTTGTTGGGGTGATGATAATTTGATAGTGTACCCCGAAATTAGGAACAAGACAAGGATACCTGCTTTCATCACTGCTATTCAACAGTGTGCTGGAAGTTCTAGCCAACAATTAGACAAGAAAAAGAAAGAAAAGGCATCCAAGTTGGAAAGGAAGAAGTAAAACTATCTCTAGTAACATATGGCATGATGCTATATGAGAAAACCCCAAAAAATCCACAAAAAAAAGCTACTAGAGCTAATCATTGAATTCAGAAAGTTTCAGGTACAATATCAATACACAAAAATCAGTTGTGTCTCTGCACACCAGCAATGCAATGAACAATCCAGAAATGAAATTAAGAAAGTAATTCCATTTACCCTAGTATTTAAAAAAATTAAATACTTAGAAATAAATCTAATCAAAGACATGAAAGATTTGCATGTTGAAAACTACAAAACATTGCTGAAAGAAATTAAAGAAGACCTAAATAAATGGAAAGACATCTTGTGTTCATGGATAGGAATACTTAACATTGTCAGAAATACCCACATCCATAGAGCCAGTGCAATTCTTAACAAAATTCTCACAGCCTTTTTTGCAGCAATGGAAAGCCTATCCTCAAATTCATATGGAATTGTAAGGGGTGCCAATAGCCAAAACAATCTTGAAGAAAAAAAAGTTGGAGGATCACACTTCCTGACTTTGAAACTCAAAGCTACGGTAACTAAAACAGTATGGTACTGGTATAAGGATAGATATATCTACGAATGGAATAAAATAGAAAGCCCCAAAATAAACTCTCACGTATATCATCAGTTGATTTTCAACAAGGGTGCCAAGATCATTCAATGGGGAAAGGACAACCTTTTCCACATTGATGCTAGGAGAACTCAATATCCACATGCAAAAGAATGAAGTTGGAACCTTCATAATTGAGTTAATATACAAAATTAACTCAAAATGGACCAAAGACCTAAACTTAAGAGCTAAAACTATAAAACACTTAGAAGAAAATATTGAGGAAATTTTTCACGACATTGAATTTGGCAACAATTTCATGGCTATGACATCAAAAGCATAGGCAAGAAAAGAAATTAGATAAATTTTGTTTCATAAAAATTAAGAACTTTTGTGCCTCAAAGAGTACCATCAAGTGAGCAAAAAGACAGTCTACAGAGAGGGGGAAATATTTGCAAATCATATATCTGACAAAGGATTAATATCCACAATACATAAAGAACTACAACTCAAAAAGGAAAAACCCAATATTTAAAATGGACAAAGGACTTGAAGAGACATTTCAAGGCATACGAATGGTCAATAAACACAAGAAAAGATGCTCAACATCATTAGTCATTAGGGAAATGCAAATCAAAACCACAATGAGATACTACTTCACACCTACTAGGATGGCTAGTATTTAAAATAATAATAATAAATGTTGGCAAGGATATAGAGAAGTTAGAACCCTTGTGCATTGCTGGTAGGAATGTAAAATGGTGCAGCAACTGCAGAAAACAGTTTGGCAGCTCCTCCAAAAAGTTGAACGTTGAATACCATATGACCTAGCAATTCCACTCCTAGGTATATATCCAAAAGAATTGAAAGTGGGACTCAAACACATATTT